TCTATGTGTGTGCAGTGTTATTGTATATTTTTCAGTATCCGCAAAGATGTGATCATTTTAAACCGTCATTATAATGGTTTCGTCCGTCATAATAATGGTTTCGCCCCCCCTTGCTAAAGATAATGGTACAGTCCCCACACGCGCGAAAGTTTTGTATCAGCAATGGCGTCCAGAGCAGGTGGGTGTATACTACACTGTGTAGTGTTTGTTTACTGTGAAGAAAGACAAGTGTACAGGTCACGAAGTTAATGATTCCATTATGGAATGATCCTGTGGCATCATTCTAGGTAATGTACAGGTGCAGTGCACTTCACCTCCTGCTATAGCGGCTGTCATCTCAGGGTTTAGACTGCTGCCATTGAGGCACCGTTAGCTTCATGGCTAACAGCTGAGCCTCCACACTGGCGAGATTTACTGATGATTTACATCGTCCAGTTTCTAAGCGAAGGTTTGAGAGTCTGTCACATGACTGACTGCACTGTGTGTTTATACGACCTGACCTTTAATTAATCATGAATGGAACTGTTGTTATGAAGACTACTGAGTAACAGCATGTGTTGCTCAGGCCGCCGAGGGAGGAAGCGCAAAGCGGAGTCTCAGTTAGAAGAGGAGAACCCATCCGTGAAGGAGGAGAAGAAGGAGGAGGAGGAGAGAGGAGATGGAGAGACTGAGGAAGGCCAAAGAGTGGTCATTGAACACTGGTAAATAATATCACATCATACCCTGCAGATAGAAGTGCTCAGATTCTTAGTTATAGTCGAACACTTATCCACAAGTAAAGTCAAACAAATAGTTTTCTAAACTTGGTCAGTAAAGAAATAACAAAAACAGAATCATTTGACGGTTAAGAAGCAACAGATCCGAACACTATATCTCCATCATATGCATTTTAGACATAGTTAAATGATGTTAGTAAAAACGTTCACATGTTTTTGTTGTTCACTGCATAAGGATCTCCTGAACTAGACTTTAGTTAGTTAGTTAATTACAGTGTGAAAAACTGCAATATTATTATAGTATAAAATGGTAATGGGTACCTCACAGTAGTACTCAAACACAGTAAACAAAGTGACTACATCGTATGCAACAACACACCTCATTCACAGCTTTAGTTTCCTGTCCATCTGATAGTTGTTTGGTTATTTCTGGCAGCAAGAGCTGACGAGTGTATGGGCGTAATGCCGAGGAGGTGAAATCTGCCCTCCTGGCTGCCCAGCCTGGGCTGACAGTGATCCTCAACGCAGAGAAACCCCGGAGGAACAGCTTCGAGATCACTCTGTTGAATGGAGTCAAAGGTGAGGAGGAGAAAAAGGGTAAATCCAATAATAAGTCGGCCATGTGGCGTCCCGAGGGAAGACTGACATCCTCAGCCAAGTGTGACTGTTTCCATATTTGGTCTTTTACCCAATAAAACAAAACAACAAAAACCTAAGAATTTCCAACCACTACTTATGCTTTTATTAAGCAGTGTTATGAAACATTCATGGCTGAGATTGATACTTGTGATGGTAAATTAATTTCATTTATACATAGTATTGAAAAATATCACTAAACAGCACTAAAATATCACTTCCCAGAATCAATGCCCCAGTTACTCAGCACAGTCACAGGCTTTTCTTTGAAATGTTCCTGTTGTTTTACCTTTGCAGTGAACAACATTTCTCATTTTAAAACAGTTTATAGAAGGACCTGTGGACAAGTGGTTTGTCTGAAGGAAAGTTGAATACTGTTTTGATTGTGAAAATGTGTTTGTGTAACACATTTATTGTCTATTATTCCTACAAATGACTCTGTTCCATTTTGTTTCATCCCTTAAGAAACATCTCTGTGGACCGGAATAAAGAAGGGTCCACCTCGTAAGCTGAAGTTTCCTCAACCTGATGTTGTAGTTGCTGCTCTTCAGGAGGCTCTGAAGCCTGAGTAGATGTCCAGTGAAGGTTTGTGTCAAAGCTGTGTGACACTTAATATAAAAAAAACACAAGTTGGAAAAACTCAAGTACAAAATTTATATAAATTAAATTTGAGAAGTGAGCACATTACATAGAAACTGAGGTAAAACGTTT